CTTGACACAGCTGTCAAATCTTCCCACAACACACCCGCCCCTACCCTCCGTGGCGAGGTCCTGCCGATCCCGTAGAGGGAGAGCACTGAGGCGGGGGACGTCTTCAGGCACCATGGCCCGGGCCTGACCTAGGGCCACAGCAGCATGACGACAGACGTGTTTGATACGGGGGCCTTGCACAGGGGACTCGGGGCCCTAGCGGAGGAGAAACCAGGAATACATGTGGGAAGCTGCCCCCTGTGCTCCCGAAACCAGACTTCAGAGGGTCCTCCTCCCACTCCATACCGACGGTCTCTCTCTCTTAGTTTCCATCGATTCATCTTCAGACCTCACAGAACCTCTATCTGAGATCTGCTTGACAGTCCCCACGACTTCCTCCATCTGCCCTCCAGGGCTCGGCTGGTGGAGGAATAAACAGGGTCAGAAGTTGGAAAGTGAGGAAAGAGAGCGCCGGGGGGACTAGCACGGGGGAGGCCCACAGCCAGGGCCGGAGCACAGGAAGCTGAGAAACAGAGAAGGGCTGGCTCTGGGGTTCCCTGAGACACCAGAGAGTGCCTGAGGAGGCAGGAGGTTAACAAAAATGGAGAGAATTGCGAGAATTGAAGCCGGATGACCGGGTGCGGGAACCTGGATAAAGCATCATGCTCACCGGCATCAAAGACGCCACCTTCTGCTGCTGCTGCTGCTGATCGATCTTGAACAGCTGCACCTTGGCTCTCTTGAGGAGGCTAAACATTTTCTCCTCCACGCCGGACAGTGGTAAGGAACCCAAGGCTGCGATACGGGCCTTTTCCAGTGGTGTCGGCTGCTGTGGTAGTGGCTGCGGCTGCAGTTGTAAGTGTGGCTGTAACTGTGGCTGCTGCGGTGGTAATGCCTGAGGCGGCAGTTGGGTTGGCAAGGCCTGCAGGGGCTGCTGTAGCTGAGCCTGAGACTGCTGCCCATTGCTCAGAGCTGGAGCCCCAGGAAGGGGCACCTCGGCCTTAACGGGAGTGGCGACCACAGGGGCAAATCGAGGCAGGCTGAGGTGGTTGGTGCGACCCACTGCCCGTGGCTCAGGCTCAGCTGGAGAGTCATCGGCGGGAGGAGGCTCTGGCTCAGGGGCTTCAGGGGCCCCAAGAGGAGTAGTAAGCACCGATTCATAGATCTTCAGGTGGGCTTCGCTTGGGGTAAACTGAGGTGCCCGAAGGAGCAGGGGCCTCCGGGATGGAGGGACAGGGACAGGAAGTGGGGGTGGGGCCGGCGGGGGGGCAGGAGGAGGAGGGGGCAGTTCCCGGGTCAGCGAGGTCCAGCGAAACGTGGGTTCCCTTAGAATGGACCGTCTTTTCTCAGGGAGTGGGACTGGGGTAGATGGAGGAGTTGGGGCACGTGGTGGCGAGGGAGCTGGTGCTGGTTCAGGGGGGACGAGTGGGGAGGTGGCAACAGGAGGCCGCAGAGTAGGTGAGACTTCTACCTTTAGGGGTTTGGGGGGGTCTTCATCCATAAACCTCCGGGGTGTCTTGATGACTCGGGAGGAGCGGGCACTCACCACAGGCATAATAAACTGCCGGATATTCTTCAGGAAGGTGGTACTTTTGGGGGCCACAGTGGGGCTGTCTTCCAGAGGGCCTCCCGTGGTGGTGCTAGGGGCTGGAGTGGGAGGAGAGGTACCCTCTGGCACGGCCCGAGCAGCTTCTCGCTCTGCCCGCTGGCTGGGTGTCAAGGGAGGCCGACCCCTCTTCCTGGAGCACACGGCTGGGACCACCGGAGGAGGGGACTCTTCCTGCTGCTCCTCTGGGGCAGGAGGTGGTTGGGGCGATGGCGGGGGCAGAGGGGACACTGGGGGCGGTGGAGGACAAAGTGGGGATGAAGGAGAAGTTGAGGGGGGTGGGAGGGGTGGAGGGGGTGGAGGGGGTGGAGGGGGTGGAGACGGGGGAGGGGGAGGAGGAGCTGGAGGAGTCGAGGGTGGGTTTGGCGGCTTTGCCTCTTCCTTTTCCTCTGCGAGCACCATATCTTCTTCAGGTCCAGCCGTCTCTACCTTCTCCTCTCTCTCTTCCTTGTCTTTTTCTTTTGTCTCTTTCTCTGCCTCCTCCTCCAGCTTTTGCTCCTTCCTCCAGCAGGGGCCCTCTCCCTGTCCAGATCCAACTCTTCCTTGGGGGGCATCCTGCCAGCTTTCCTCATGTTGATCTTGACCCTGACCTGATTCAAGTCCCAAGGACAACTGTCCCATCTTCATTTTTTTGGCCTTTGAAACAAACTTAATCACGAGAGGGAGCCCACCTCGGCCTCGGCCTCTACTTCCACGGCCTCCTCGCCCAGACTGTCCTCCACGCTTGGGGGTCCCAGGTCCTGGGCCAGGCCCCTCTTTGCACTTCCAGCTGCCAGTTCGGTGTCTTACGGGAACCACAGGAGATGGGGGCTCAGGTTTAGGGATTGTCACAGCTGCTTCTGCCACCACTACTGCTTGTTGCTTCTTCCTGCAGGGGCCTGCTGGCCGTCCTGGGGGCCGTCCCCGAGACCGACGTGGAGTGGAGGGCTCACATGCCCGGCTCCGAGGGGCTGGGGGTGCCTGGGCCCGCCGGAGAAGTTCAGTCAGTGCCTGCACCATCCGTTCTGTGCCCTCCTCACCCCGTTTCCGGGCAGGAGTCTTTGGGGGGGTAGGAGCGACATCTGCTAGGCGAGGAGGCGGAATGGGGGTCGTCTTATGCTTGCGGCCCCGACCTCGGGGGGCTCGACCTAAAAGGAGAATAGGTGTGGGGAGATGGGTCAAGCTAGCCCTGCAGACTGAAGGAGGCACTCCAGGAGAGCAAGGACTAAGTCTTACTTGTCTGTTTCCCCCACAGCCCAGCCTAGCTTGGGCTTTGAACACAGAACACACTATGTAACTGATGGAGACTCTAGTTAAACAGGGAAAAGCTGACGTTAAGAGCAAGAATAACATTCCTGTAAAGCTATAGAGGTAGAGTTTCCCCATCACTCACCTCGCTGGGATCGGAGCGCAGAGCGCAGGGAACTGGGGGCCACATCTTCATCTGAATGAAAACCCTGAAACTCCTGATTTAGGGGACCAGGGGTGGAGGGGAGAAACAGCAGTCAGTGCCAAAGCCCTCATTCCACCTGAGACTCAGGTATGGAGATATATCCCCAGTTTCCCCCTTAACATACTCCTACCTATTTAGAAAAAAACTTAACACTGCAAGATAAAATGAGTAGAAAAGAGTCTCTTCCTATGGGTGGAGGCACGGGTATTTTGAACCCTTGTCCCCTGTACCGGGCTACACCAGCACAGCCATCAAGGGTTCGCTGGGTCAGAAGGGAACAGAATTGGGTCTTCCCAGGCCAGGCAGTAGAAACTACCCTCAGACTCTCTCATCCTCCAACTCAAAAAAGGTGGGACTAGTGTTTACACACTCTCAGGATGTAGTTTCCTCCTGAATGAAAATGGGAATAGGGGCACTCAAGTCGGGTGTGTGCATGTTTTCAAACGATTTACTATAACAAGCTCCACTCTTGAGCCCTCGAGGGACTACAAACTGTCCTAAGTAATACAACCCACACCTTCCTTCTGAGAGGCTGGGGATAAGTGCTGAGCTCAACCCAGACCTGCTAGAGTTCCCGGTCGCAGCCTTTATTCCATTTTCTCTTCAACCTGTGCCTCCAAGAGGAAGCCCTCCATTATGCTACCATCTCTCCCCTTGAAGAAGAAAAATTGGGGTACCGGTGAAACCAGTGATGTGTCAGAGATTATGAGGCCAGGGGGAGCAGCCTGCAGGTAAGAGCTCAGAGAGCCCCAGTCCGGTCCGCTAAAGCCATGCTGCTGCTGCTGCTGTCAACCACCATGGTTGGGCATGCAGTACCCACAGCCTTCTCGCTCGGCCCGGCTGCCGCGGCTTTGCCAACTACCAAGATCACCAGCCCAGGACACTTCTGCAGGACGAGCCTCGGGCCCAAGTACCAGCTGCAGCCCGGGCTTCTCTACTTTCAGAGGCCTTTTTCACCGGCAGTTCCGTGCAGCCTACCTGCCCCCAGGCCTACTCCCAGGGCCCCCTTCCCTCCGCAGGGGCCCCGAGAGCCTCGCTTCCCCACGCCACCCCTCGGGGCCACCCAGACCCTCGGAAGCCCCCGGCCTCCGCCCCGCCCGGCGTCGGGGACGCCGCCGACCGCCTCACCTCATCGTCGGATTCCTCGTCACTGCTCTCTTCCTCGGGCACGCAGCCCCGGCTCGGGCCCCAGCCCCGGCCCCGGCCCCGGCCCCGGCCCCGCTGAATGCGCGGGCCGGCCCACAGGCGGCGGAGCCGGCGCAGGCCCCGGCGGAGCCCCAGCAAACGGAGCAGGGCCGTGTCCTCCCCGGGCTCGGCTCCGCCCGGCCCCGCCGCGCCGCCGCCGCGCCGCAGAGCTACCCGCACTCTCTCGGCCCCGCTGCCCCGTCCGCCGCGGCCCCCGCCCCCGCCGGAGCCCCGCGGCCGGCCCGGGAAGCGGCCCCGCGCGGAGCCAGGCCCGGGGCAACTGCCGCCGCCCGCCGCCGCCGCCATCTTGGCACCGTGAGAGGGGCCGGGGAGGCGGGGGGAGGGGCGGCCCGTGCGCAGGGCCGGGGGGAGGGGAGGGAGAGGTGGGGCGGGGCGGCTGCGGCTCACGACAGCAACCAGCGCCGCCGCGGGGCCAGCGGGAGCCGGGGGCTGGGCCGGTCACGCGCGGGGCACCACGGGAGCGGGAGTCCGAGGCCAGTCGGCCGTCACCCTTAGACCGCGCCTGAAGAGCATAGACCCCGTGTTGCGGCCCGAGAGGGGTGAGGCGCAGAGACCTCCGGGTAATGTAGTCCAGGCGCCTCGCTCCTTCCGCCGAGAGCTAGGGCCGCGCGAGAGCTGGGACTATAGGGTCCTAACCGAACCCAGAAAACCATCTCCAGGGCTGCCGGGAGGTGTGGTTTTCGCCCCAAACTCCTCCCATTGCTCCTGTCGAGACGAGGACACGCGTGAACTACTACTCCCAGGGTGCAGTGGGCTTTGGACCCTGGGAACCGCAGAGACCCTGGGAAATGCAGTTCGCGACTTGCCGGAGGCGTGGGCTGGGAAAGGGGCCGCGGCGAAGGAGTAGTCTCGGTTGGAGACGCCACCCGGCTGCGGGTCTGCAAGGCATGGAGGGAAGAGGCTCGAGAGCCGCAGCCTTGCGGTCCTTGTGCTCAAGGAGAGGAGGAGGGTGGCTGCAAGTAGGGTGGAGCACGCGTTCCTGGAGCCCCGGGCTGGGGGTCCCAGACTCAGATTCTGCGCACCGTTGCTTGCTGTGGAAGGGGCGAATAACTTGGTTTCTCAGTGCCTCTTTCAGCGGGGCTTGCTGCTAAATCAGCCTTCCAACAGGGCTTGCTGCTAAATCAACCTGGACTTCGCGGCCCTCGCGGGCCCCTACCTCTGGGGGAGGACAGGGAGACCGGGGAGAAGGAGGCGGCCCCCGCGCTGAACAGTGGATGCACGGCCACCAGGGGCCGCCACAGGACAAGGGGCAAGGCTGCCCTCCTTCCCTCACTGCTCACAGACTAAAGTCTGGACTCGGCTTCTGATCGTGAGAGGAGGGCACAGGAAACTTTATTTTGATGATGAATCACCAGCCCCCGCACAGTTAATTTTCACTCGTGCAAGCTTTACTGCCCACACCCCACACGGGCTCGCTGGCCCAGGCTTCTGGGGCCTGCGGTCATCTGGGAGGCGGCTTTCAGCGCCTTTCTTGCTGTGCTTCTTGGAGCCAAATTTGCTAGGCTGCCGTAACTGCGGTGCTGGGTCAGAAGCCTAGTCAGCCCATCAGCCCGTCTTTCATTCTTTAAGCCAAAGAAGCTGCCAACACCATCAAGTGGTGGAGCAAGGGGACCTACAGGGAGAGGTCGAGGCCCGGGACGGCCTCGAAGAGGAGTAGAGGAAGGTGGAGCGAATGGTCCATCCAGGTGGGAGCTGGCTGGGCGAGTGGCCACGCATGTGCGCCTGCATGGAGGCCAGGCTGGGGCAGCCGGCCCGGCACAGAGGGCAGCGGTAGGGTGCGGCCCCATGCGTGCGCAGGTGCTTGGTCATGGCTGAGAAGTCCCGGGAGCGCTGGGGGCAGAGGCTACAGGAGAAGGGCTTCTCTCCTAGGGCAGGTGGAAGGGGAGGCCAGTGAAAGAAAGAAGGGGATGAAGGCTGGCCTAGGGACGGATCTGGGCGACTGGGTGACTGGGCAAGGGAATTGTGTGGGAGCCAAGCACGCAGAGAAGAACTCAGGAGCAAACACAGACCGGAGTTTGGAAAGGAGCAGATAATTCGCACTGGGCAGGGAGCCCCTACCTGTGTGGACTCGGTAGTGCGTCTCCATCTGATGCTTGAGTGAGAACCTTTTTCCACAGACAGAACAAGAATGGGGCCGGGACCGAGCAGGTGGGGGTGGGGGAGGTTGTTGGCGTGATGGGCCTGCTGTACTCACATGACCCACACAGGTGGCAAGTGGACCTGTGGGGACAGAGAAAGCAAAGGAGGGCAGGACTGGGAATCTGAGAGCTGGACTACTGGTACTCCCAGACCTCAGGAACTACAGTGGGGCTGAGGCAAAAGTGCCCTCACCCTACTCACCTGTGTGCCTCTGATCAGACTCTTCCATCTCCCCAGGGCTGAGTTTTGTGGGGCACTGGGGGAGGGCACCTGGAGAGGGCAGAGTGAAGTAGGTTCCCTACTCAAGCTGGACTCCTGGAGTCCCAGACTCAGGAAAGAGACCAGAATTTGTACAGGGCACTGAGGGGCTTACCTGGGGCAGGACTGGAGGAGCCCAACTGGTTCTGGTTCCAGAGACCTTTCTCGAGGTTCAGGGTCAGTGGGATCCTGGGGATAGGGTGGGGAAGAGTTAACTTGGCAAAACCTGGGATCCTGGCCAGACCCTTCCTGGAGAGGGAGATGTCATGAGTCCTCCTCAGAGGCTGGGCTTTGACTTCCCCTGTGATGGAAGCTTCTTGTCCTATCACCAGCTCAGGGAATGTATAGTAGAGATTAGAGATGTGGTGCCCTCCTACCCACGGCTGCCTATCCTGAGCCACTCCCTCCCAGCCAAGGAGGTCTTCCGTTAGGCTCTTTACTCACCTCTGGTCCTGTGGCCAGACCTCCCGCCAGGCTCCAGTGATGGCGGTGCTATGGGAGAAGGGAGTGCCATATCTGGGTGGCAACAGCAGGATGCTCCACAGGGCAGGCTGGCCCTCCCCCAACCAAGGGGCCTCAGCCCACCAGGGCCTAGGAATGACGCTGCTTTGGAGGCAACCTGGTGGGGGGAAGGGGCCAGGGAACTCCCGCAGACTTTCCTCAGAGCCCCCTGGACTCTCCGTCACCCACATAATTACTTCTTGTTTTCCATCTGTTCCACCATGGCCAACAGGGGATTGCTTGAATTTCTCCTTTGATCTCATCTGCTCCCTCGAACCCTCCTGCATTGCCTCTGCTCTCTCCAGCCTCTCTCTTTGTGTTCTTTGCTCATGCAGTGTCTCTTGTTCTCTCCAACCAGCTCTAACAAATTTCTCTGGTCTCTGATTTCCATGTCCCTCCAATCCTCTCTCAGAACCCCTTATAGGTTTCTCTGGCTCCTCCTGATGTTCCTTGAGCCCTGTACCCAGTTCTCTAGCCCTGTCCTGTCGAGCTCTCCTGCATGCCTCTTCTAGGGACTGCACCCCCAAAGTTCTGGCCGCTTCCTCAAGGGGTGCCAGTTCCCCAGGTTGCAGCTCTACACTCTCCCCATAAACAAAGTACAGAAGCTGGGCAAAGGTAGAAGGGCTGATGCCTTTGACCAGAGCCCAGCGGCCCCTGCGGCCCAGCTGCTGGCTCACGCCTGCCAGCACCAGGCTGTGGGCAGGGAATTCTTGGCTCCCCACAGTGATCAAGGTATCACATAGTGCTGGCCGGAGCCTGGCTGCTAGCCGTACCAGTCGATCAGAGCAATAGGGGCTAGGCAGTCTTGTCGGGAACAGGGGCATTGTGCCTTGCCTGGGTACCAATCTCAGAAGATCTGAAAGAAAGGCCATAGTGTGGGGTCCATGGTGGAAAGGGGAGGGAGGAACAGCATATTCTCAAGCCTGTGGAGGTGAGGGGAGAAAGAATGAGTTGCTGGTTCAGAGCTCTCTCTGCCCTGAATGGAACAAATAAACTAACCCAAAAGAGGACCTGAGCTTATCCAGAATCATAACGGAGCAGGGGGTAGGGCTGAGGGTGGAGGTGTCAGGAGAATGGAAATTAGACCATATTCAGGACTTAAAGAGTAAGGACCAGGCAGTTAGCGACCATAGCAAATAGTGAGTTTAAGGCTAGTATAGATGGGTCCTGCCAGTCTCTGACTTAAAAGAGAGCAGACGCTGATACTTCTGCTACTCTAAGCTCTTCTGCAGGGAAAGACCTTGGAGTGCGCCAGGCTTTCTTCTTTCCAAAGAAATCGCCATAAGACCCCCATCAGCCCTGGCAGTTAGGGACAGAGCAAGACAGAGCTTCATGGGAGAGTTGAGGAAGCTAGTGCCACCTCCACCCCCACCCTATCACATGGAGCTGAGTAGTCTTGAGAGGCAGAAAGGGCAGTAAGACTGAGGTCATGGGTGCAGGAGGGCATGCTCTAAGACACCAATTGGTTATCTCCCTATGGCTGAAACTTCTAGAACATGTCTTCAGAGAAGGACCTAGAAGAAAATCTCATCCAGTGGGTTGAGAGAGCAGGTGCAGAAGCCACAGAAGAGAATGTTCCCAACTCAAGGACAGGGAGAGATTTTGGAGGAGGTTTTGACCCCTTAGGAAGCATGGAAAAAGGAAAATGGGAACTGTAGAAGGGGAGGCTATTTTCTCTCCAGATTAGGATAAGGAGGTGGTTTAATTTTGTTTTTCATAAGCCAAGAGTAAAGAATAGAAAGAGCCAACAAGGCAGAAATTTATCAGACATCATAACTACCACAATTGCTTTTAAGAAGAGACCTGGGAACCCAGATATTAACAGACAGACCTAAGTGTTTCAGTGCCCAGCAGGCATATTCCTCAGTGTGGGGTCACCATGAATAAGGACCCTTGGGGGGAGGATTACTACTTGGATACCTCAGGAAGAAGGCTACAGGCTGGCAGGAAGTGGATAGAAAAAGGGTATAATGGGAGGAAAGTCTCAGCTGGGGAGAAGCAACCACTCACCGGTTGTAGCTTCCTCCTGGACACCGCATGCTCTGAACTGCTGTTGGGGCTCCTGGGTGCCCCCCCACACCCGGAGCTAGCCCCGCCCCTGACATCACAGTCTTCCATTGGGTGTCCCAAGTATCACTCTGCCACAGTCCCCCAAGGGGGTGTGGTCTTATACCCCTGGCTCTGCTTTACCCCTCCAAGAGAGACCACCTCCTCTACTTCCAGATTCAAGATATTCAGCTCCCTTCCTGCCTCCTTATTTCACTTGTGAACTTCTAGAGTCAAAGAAGTTCATATGAGGGGGTGCCAGGCTGGCTCAGTTTGTAAAGCATGCAACTCTTAATCTCAGGGTTGTAGGTTCAAGTCCCATGCTGGGTGTAGAAATTACTTAAAAAAAAAAAAAAAATCAAGGGATGCCTGGGTGGCTCAGTCAGTTAAGCATCTCCCTTCAGCTCAGGTCATGATCTTGGGGTCCTGGGATGGATCCCCGTGTCTGGCTCCCTGCTTAGTGGGGAGTCTGCTTCTCCCTCTCCCTCTGCCCTTACCCCCCTTCCCCAACTCCCACCCCCACTCATGCACATGTGCTCTCTCTCTCAAAAAATTAAAATCTTAAGAAAAAATACAAATCTTTTTAAGAAAAGTTCATCTCACAACAAGAACCTTGGAATAATCAGACCTGCATTTGAGTTTCATTTCTGCATTTATTAGTTGAGATACACTGGGGCAAGTCACCTCTCTGAGCCTCAGTTACCTCATCCATGAAATAGGGATAACCTTTGCTTACCTCATTTGGAGGTGAGGGTGAAGATGAAACGACATGATGAATGTGAAAGTGGTTTGTCAGTACATAGCATTGTTCAAAAAATATTAGTTCTGAGATGTGTCAGAGCTCTAGCAGCTGGAAGCTGTTTCTATTACCCCAGAAGTAAAAGGGACTGAAACATCTGGATTCCAAGGAGAGAGTGAAGGAGGGCCAAAAGCAAGCCTTGTCCTTCCTCTCCCTGACTTAGTACTAGGAAGCCTTAACTGCTCTGTGGAAATGACCCCTATCATCTGGGCCACCACAGGGGACTGAATGTACAAGTGACTCAGATTCTCCCATTAAGCTCTGAAGGGGGCAACCCCAGGAAGGGCCTGCGGTGGTCTTGGAAGAGAAAACTCCCTTTTCTTGGGTTGATGACAAATGACATTTCTCTGAAATCAGGACTCCGGGGTTTCTTTCACTTCCTGCCAAAAGAGTCAAGCTCTCAGGAGATTTCCCCCGTGTTCACACTTTAGCGCTGGTTAACCTGGGGAAAGGAGGAGGTCTGAGAGACTCAAATTTCTTTTTCTGGTTTTTATTATTCCATAATCCCTCAGCCTTTGGCAGATTTTTCATTCATTCAACAAGTGCCGAGAAATCATTTATGATATGTGCCTGGTATATCATGTATGCCCAGTAAATAACAGGAAGGTAAATCAGGCTGTGGTAGACTGTTCTGGTGACCTGACCCAGTCTGGTTCACCAGAGACTTTTCCCTCAGATCCTAGTGCCCTCCTAGACCCGAATATTATGTCTCTAACTCCCATTTCTTCCTTTGGCTCCAGGACCCCGAAATGTTCAGACAGCCTTCTACTTTCTCCTTCCAGACCAAACATGCCTTCCCTCTACCTCTCATTCTAGCTTGGGTATAGGCAGATGTTAACCCTTCCTAGATCAGACAGGGTGTGCCAATGGGTGGGGCTGGTGGAGGGGCAATAATAGGGTGGGGAGAGGGGAAGATGAGTCAAACTGAAAGGGAAAATGCAAATGGACAGGCTGTATTCATGTGCTACTCTGAACGTTAAATATTTTCCATTTCTGAGCTTTCTAACTCCTTGTACCACCACACCCAGGGACTCACAAGGCACCCATATAAAAGACACTTGGCCTTGGGGCACCTGGGTGGCTCAGTGGTTGAGCAGCTGCCTTTGGCTCAGGGTGTGATCCCGGGGTCCTGAGATCGAGTCCTACATAGGGCTCCCCAGAGGGAGCCTGCTTTTCTCTCTGTGTCTCTCATGAATAAATATATAAAATCTTAAAAACAAAAGACCAAAAAAAGACACCTGACCTGGACATATAAAAGCACCGATCCCTGATATGTATGTATACAGAGAAAAAGACCCTTTCTTCAACACAGTAATACAGTCCCTGAGGATATGGAATAAGTGGGGAAAGCCATGAAAGAGAAACCCAAGTGTAAAAGAAAAGGTACGGGGGTCTAGAAGACGACATCATCACTCAGTGGCCTTGCCTCCCAGCCCCACTTCAGTGCCTGTGACTCAGCTCCCCCACTGGTATGATTTGCTCATTGATGATCAAGAATGTTGGAAAGTGAGCACCTAGGTGATTCAATTAATTGTCTGCCTTTGGCTCAGGTCATGATCTTGAGGTCCTAGGATTGAGTCCCGCCTCGGGCTCCCTGCTCAGGGGAGATTGCTTCTCCCTCTCCCTCTGCCCTTCCCCTCTGCTCGTGCTCCTTTTCAAATAAATAAAAAATATTTTTTAAAAATGTTGGAAACTGTGCTCAAAGGGCAGCATCCTCTGTAAGCCAAGTGTAGTTACAGGAAGAGTCTGCAGGCTTTCAGGAAACCTAATAGGGAGGAGAAAGGGCAAGGGACTCCCCATTCAGTGAACAAAAGCTCCCAAGAATAGGAAACCCTGTTTTTGCCTCCTACCTAGTGTCTACCTCACCTAAGGATATTGTTTCAGAGACTGCTTCTTTAGAGGTTCCTCCAGGGCCATCTACCCCTCAGCCCTTAGGCTGGTGACACTGTAGGCCCTTCTCTCTCCCTACATTCTTGACTACATAGTTCAAGCCATCTTGCATTCAGCAGTGACAGCAGAAGCACAAGCAAATAGCACTTTGACTTGGAAGGGTAGGGACACTGTAACTCTTTTCTATTCCTGAGAAGTCCCCCATCACAGTCTCAAAAACCTTGTCCACCTTCTACTTCCCAGGCTGACTGTAGGAATCACCTGCCGTTGTCTCCTGGGGTGGACTCAGGAAACCATTGATTCTGAGGACACAAACCTGCATCTTGGGAAGGTAGAGTGGATAGGAAAGACTAGATAGGGCATACCTGGAAGAAAGTATGTGGAAAAAGGAGTTATGACTTTTGCCCCTCATTCCTAATACTCATATTACTAAATAAAGTTTAATGTCTGGTATTTTTTATTCTGATAGGCTTGACCAGAGCTCCTTCATATGCCCCTGCAGGTACAACTCAGCTGATATAAAAATGTCAACGCAGCAATACAATTATGGATTCTCCTTAAATATAATTAAAACTAAGCCACAGAATAGGCTGATTAGAGGGGTGATTATTTGTTTTATGACAAATATTCTCCCTTTATCTCACTTATTTCAGATACTACTTCCAAAGTCAAGTTTAAAAAGATTCAATTTAGAAAAATTATATGAACTTTCCACTTTTTTTCAGGAATACATCTCTTTCTTCAAATCAAGGTGGTTAAAGTCCCCACAGAATTTTATAATGCAGATGAAGACCAATTATCCAAATCTTACCTAAACTTTCAAATGCCCACTCTTTCTAGTGAAGTACATCCAACACATACCGATACATACCACGGAGTAAATTTGTTTCTTTCTTGCCCTCAATCTGTATTTCATAAAACTTAGGAACCAGTGTAATTATAGCCAGGTGAGCTGCAGCTAGGTCATAGAGACCCTATCATAGCATATCTTTTGTGGATGAAGTGGAAAAAGAACTAGACTAGAAGTAAAACAATTTAGGTTCCACTACATCCTCTCTGTGGATGGCCTTTCTTTTCAGTCCTAATACGGGGCTAACTCTTCTAAGATCCTCAATTTCCTCACAGGGACTGCTTTCAAGAGCAATACTGAATGCCAATATTGCGTTAAACCCGCTCTGACCCCCTCTGGCTGTGCTCCTCCCTTGGGCCAAGGATCCCAAGAGCATCGAGGAAGGGCCCACCAGGAACATGTGTCCCCCAGTTCTAGGGTATGCTCTGGGAACTTGGAACCCTGGACTTCCTCACCCAAATGGCCTCCTTCCAGGACAGCCCTCAACCCTGGGTCTATATTCAGGAGGGTGAACTGTGAAACCGATACACACACCCCAGGCCCTGGTTGTGTGTAAGGAACAGGTACACTGAGCTCAGACATGCAGACTAACCTATGAGATGCCTTGAAATGTGCACCAACACCAGGTGTGGAAAGAAAAGGGGAAATTTTCATTTTTAGTCTTGCCTCAGCCCCATGAATAATACAGGAACCTGCTTTATTCCAATGGCTCTTAACATAGGTTAAGGGGATCACCATCCCTTTTAAAATTGTAAGCCACAGAATCAACTCTTTACATCAGAAAATTGTGGATACTCATACAAGGGATTCACAGGCTGGAGTCAGTCCTTGGACAGGTTAGATACTCCTTGTTTATCCTTGTGGCTGCTTTGCATGCCCCCCCCCCCAAATACAACATGCATATAGTTTTTCTTGTGATTTCCAGGAGCTCCAAAACCCTTAAATCCACTCATAGACCACTCCCCCTTGCACCCCCTACCCGAGGTTTAAGAATTCTGGGTGTACATGAAAGCACTCTGAAAGCTTCAATACCACATAGAACTTGTCCAGCTGAGTGAAATTAGATATCAACACCCTGTCCCATAAGAATAAAAAAAAATCTTCCGTAATGACAAGCTGGGTGATTTCCTAAGGAGCAGGAAATCTCACACACCTCTTCCTGTGCTCTAGGACAAGATCCATCTTCCCTATGCATCTGGCTCCATTCTTACAGCCTGGTATCTTCTGAGAATGACCAGGGTTTCAGAAAGAGCGGACCAAAAGGCCCTCATATGACCCAATCCTGGGTTTTTTTAGAGCCACACGGCAATAATATTTCATGGAGGGCAAACAACCTGAGATTCAGAAACTCCCTCCTCAAGAACCTCCAGAAGACCTTGGGCCTAACCTCCTGGCCAAGTTGTCTATCCTGGACCTGATAGTGGAAAATCTGCACCTCAACCTGGAGTCCAGTCACCCCCAAAACCTTGCAGCTGCATGTTCTTAGCACAGCCTGGGTGCAATGGCTGTTGACAACTGCCCATTGGACTTCCAATCTCGACAACTCTCTCTCTCTCAGCCCAGGCTGGATCCAAAGACCCCAGAAAACCTCCCAAGAGCACACTAGTTTCACCTTTTGGCCAGCAATGCCCCGCCCCCCATAACCTCTGGAGAGTCACAGGCCTCCCCTTCCGGTCACCACATCCAGACTCAGGCCAGAGACCTCAGACAACCTCTCACGGATCAGAGGCCATACCTCACGGCCAACGAAGCCACGCAGAGCTCCAAGGGCCTCCCACGGCCACACAATACACTTCCAAATCAAGTCAGCCTCAGGGACCGTGGACCAACCCAGGGCATGTTGGCCTCTGCCCCAGCCCGGTCCAAAGGTGCCCAGGAGGCCCCACTGCCATCCTCGCCAGGACAAAGGGAGTCCCCGGGGACTAGAGTCCTCAACTCTTGCTTCTCAACCCTCACGACGACCGCTCCGGCCCTCCCACCCCAGCTTGGCTTGGGCCAGTCCCAGGCCTGAAGA